AGAAAAATTTCTTCCTCGTGCTAGTTTCAATTCCGATCGAGTCATCGAGTTATCTTTCAAACCGATTCACTCAATTTCATCGTAAAAATGTGACGCAAATACGGTGAAAGCTCTACATTCTACGCCTTATTCATCGTTAAAAATTTTGGTTTCTCGATAAATATCAATTTCTAATTAAATTTATTTGGTGACGTTGAGAACAATTATTATTATTATTTTTTTCTTTTTTTAATTTTATAGAAAAAGGTTTCTTTAGAAACGGATTAATGTAGATCTTCTATCATCACGCATTATGATATATCTCTTCTAATATTTTACATTGCTATAAATACGATATATATATAGAAAAAAAGGCTCAAGGATCAATTATAACAAAATGCACACCAAATCTATTACCGGATTATTAATCATCCCTAATATTAAATAAAATAATCAAAATAATCAGCATCTTGTTACGATCTTTTTTTTTTTTCTTTTTGCACAAGCGCAACAGATTTGAAAAAATGGAGAGAGGAAGGAAAGAAAAAACAAAGCTTAAATTCCAACCAATTACAATAAATACCGCGTGAAAGGAATTCTCGGCTGAGAAAAATTTAAGACTCGCCATCTCAAAGACTACAATAAGCCCTTAAAATTTTAAACCCTCGCTCTTCAATGCCCCCTATATATTCCTCGAACGAAATTATCGAGAGGCACGTTGACGAGCAGTAATTCTCCCGGTACGGTGTGGAAACGTGTCTCGCGTACACCCTTGTTGTCCCATGACTGGTCCTCCTCTCGCTGAACCCGGCGGGAACCTTATATCCCCAAGGACAAACCGGAGGAGGCGGATCCTCCTTGTTTCGCGTACGATTATCGGCGATCCGCCACTTACAACCTTTTCGTATCTGCATTTCTGTGTTTCCATCGTGTTACCACGCGACGTGACGATTCCCGTACGTGAGTTATTTCCGCGCGCGGGGTCCAACGAGCCGTGTCGCCCCACGTTGCCGCGACGTCACTTCCGTCTAGGCAGGTTGAACAAACCCTGGCTTGTTTTACGCGTGACAATGGTCTCGGGAATGGACTCGTAAAACGTACAGTGTTTCGTGCGAGTTTTATGGGCTTCTACTATTTATTCTGCGCGAATGTTGGTTTATCCTTCTTTTTTAACTGCCTGCTTACTACGTGCGTCTAGCGTCCAGCTATGTATGTATGGATAAAATCCACCCCCTCGCCTCACGTTCCCAATTATATATTTAGACCCGACGATCGATGTTTCCGGAATCGATTCGCATTATCGGGCCGCGCCCGTTGAATGGGAATTATTTCAGAGTACGGACGTGCGCCCGAGGATTAAGCTCGCGCGAAACGAATTGTCGCGATACCGCGAAATATTGACGCGGGGAAACGTGAATGAACGGTGATAAAAAAGGTGATTGTCGTGAAAGCTTGTGAATTTTTATTTTTTCTTCGTGTGGAGAGTAGAGCATAGAATGAGAAGTTCTAGTAAACGCGAAAGTTCTTCCATTTCTTTTGGCCTCTTCAGATCTCTGTATTATATTTATATAATACACGTCGTAAGTTATATGCAAAAAGTTTATCATAATAGGGGTGATTTAAAGGTATTTAAGTATCTATTTTATACAGAGCTCTTCCTCCTCCTCCTCCTTTCCTTTTCATACTGTAAATCAACGCTACGAGAGCACACTTGCAATCCAAACAATCAAGACCAACTTTCCACCCGATACTCAAACTGAACTCTCGAAACATCAAAGTATCTCCCATAGTTTCTCCAAAATTTCCAAGACAAACTTGCCCAAAACTCACGACGCGTCCCCAATATCCCTATTCCAACTCGATTTCTCGCTTTCGGTCGTATGAATTGGCAGCCAGCGATCCCTTTGGTCGAAAAGTCGCGCGCACGTTCGTTGCACTCCGAATTTAGAATGCGATGACGGTACAATGACCCAGATAACCGTCCAGGCTCGTTAAAACCCTTGGTCGTGAACCTCCCGCGCGTCAAGTATCAATTAAACGTTGCCTTCGTTCCCGATCTCCCTTGTAATTGGCCCATCGGACCAACGGATCGCTCCCTTTGAACTGGTAATATATTTCTGGCCGAAAGAAACGCGCGAAAGGCCCGCTCCATTCTCTCTGTCTTTCTCTCTCTCTCGTGTCTTCGTTTCTAGCTCGGGTATACTACGTCACTTTCTTTAGCGTCCTCGTTGCGGAAGAGGAGGAAAGAGAGAAGAGGTATACGAGAGAGAGAAAGAGAGAAGCGAGATGGAAAAGTCGAGTGAGAAAGAAAAAAAAAAAA